CTACTTTTTTAACTGTACACTTCTGTGTTCCAATTGGTATTAGTCTAAGTCTTGTTTTGGATGTCAGCTCTCCTCCAGTATAGTGGGATTCAATGCAAATATCCTTAACATGTCTTTTTCAATGAAATGCAAATGTCCAGGTATAACAAGCGAGTGCAAAGGTGGCCCAACATCGTGTGATAAGAGCTCCTTCATGCTGCCACAAACTATCTGCTGATTGGCTGAGCCAATTCGTGCCAGGCCCACAGCAATAGTGTCATCTGTGTAGGCTACCAAAAAAAAAACAATAGGGTATAATCAACATGAGAACACAAGTGAACAGTTAAAACTTAACACATGCTGAAAAGCTGTCAACATGGCAGTGTCGTAAAGAGAGAAACTAAATCATAATGATCACTAAAAATAAAGACGAGTGATCTTCGTAGTAAGGAATTAAATTCTCTCCTGAATTGGAAAGATCGCTCTTGTCTATCTCCATTTATTAATCCGCAGTTCAAACATAAGATATATATCTTATCAACCAAGCGCAAGGGCTGTACTGGGAGAATATTGGCCCGAGGTCTTGACAGTATGGACCTCGCTGCGCTCGGTCCGTACAAAAAAGACCAAGGGCCGATATTCTTCCAGTACGGTCCCGAGCAAGCTTGGTTAATAAGAGATTTATTACACGACTGAAGTTCAAATTGAAACAAGGGCTGTATCATTCAGGACCATTCGGGACAGTGCCCGGTCCAATACTGAGAGAATATTGACTGGCAATAGAGCATTTTGATTGGTTGATTTTAGTTAATGGCCCTCTGACTTCCCGAGTCGTGTAATAAATTCATATATTCACAATCGTTCATTCAGCATCACATGGATTCAGTTGTAAAGCACTATCAGTTGTAAAGCGCTATTGATCTGTCATTGTAAATAGCACTATATAAGAAATAAATTATTATTATTTCATTAGGAACCAACAAATTGACCAGCTCCCAGTTGGCTTGTTAGCTCAACTAGCAGAGCACTGAACCAGCATTGCTTAGAACATTGTGTTCCACTCTTGTACAAGCCTGATTTTTTTTTTCAGGGTTTACTTTCACTACTGCTTGAGTAGTTTTCATTACTGGTAAGATCACTCTCCTATTCATTTAATTTCTCTGCAGTTATAATAAATATTATTCAGATATTCACAGTAGTTTGAACACTTAACAGTAAATGGTTTGGACACAGAAACATGGTTAGGTTGTTCTGTGTGGTTTGTCAGTTTGACAGTAAAATAACAAACAAACTGAACTGAATGTCACTCTCACTGATCAAAACTAGTGTAGTCTGATCGTCTAGGTGTGTGTAAACCTGAGAAGGACTATAGTAAGTAGTGGTGACCAATGTTTCGACAACCTAAGCAAAGGAAATCATCAGAGTCAAGAGAATTGCTTTTGTCAATTGAACGTAATGAGTCTGGTTCATGTACATTTGAATGACAACTATTCACTTGACTCTGATAATGACTTCTGCTCAGGTTGTCGAAACGTCAGTCACCACAATCTACAATATTTCTTCTAAGGACTACACTTATCCAAACAATCAGACTACAATATCACAGGTAACCCCAGGTTCAAAAAATTTCCTGTAGATCAAAACTAAGCCATCAAAACTGACTCACCCAATCTAAGTCTTAATGCTTTAACTCCCAGGAGTGACCAAGACAGATTTTCTCCTTACAATATCAATACAATATCAAGCAGACAAGTGATGAGAATAAAGAAAAATATCAATTGGGAATTATTAGTTGACCCAATGCCAAATTCTCCATACTTGTATAAAAACAGTCAGGAGAATTATTAATGAGATCTTGAAAGCAAGAGGGTAAGAGCCAAAAAAAAAAATCACAGAAAAAGCAACTAATCAGCTTAAAAGAATGAGCAATTGTCATCAACAGATCAAAACTAATCAAACTTCTTGGACTGGCAACCCTAAGGGTATGAAGAAGATTGTGTTGGAATACCTCTGAGGTCAAAGTGCCCTACCCTTTAACTCCAAGAAGTGATTAAAATGTAACTTCTCCCTGCAATATCCATACATTATCCAGCAAACAGGTAATGAGAATACTCAAATTTATCAGGTAGAAGTTGTTACTGTGATCTAACACCAAATTTGTGTACTAATTTACAAGGAAATGTGTAGTAGCTGTAAGGGTTAAGATATCCCACCTGGTGGTTCTCCTTGCAAATCTCTGTTCCTCACTACTTCTAATAACTGACTTACTGCTTCATTCACACTCATGTAGCGTGGAGGTTCATAAACCTTTCTCCCCCTAAAAATAAAGAAGTGGTAGTTAGGAATAAAGAGCAATTGCAGTCAATGCGTTCCAATCAATTTGAAGCTTCGATAACCCCCAAGTATAGTAGGAAAAAGTTTGGTGATCAAATCTGAAGAAACAGCCAGACCACTGTAGTAACTACCTCTCTTAACCCTTTGGCTCCCAGAAGTGATCAACATGTAACTTCTCTCTATAATAACCATACATGATCCAGCAAACAGGTAATGAGAATCCACAAACTTATCAGGTAGAAGTTGTTACCTTGATTGAACACCAAATTCTCATAACCAATTTACAAGAAAATGTGTATCAGCTAGAGGAGAGAATTCATAATCAGATCTTGGGAGTTAAAGGGTTAAGTTACAACCATTTCCTGCATTAATGCTGTAACGCACAAGGGTAACTAACATCAAATTTCTTACCAGGGTATTGCTACTTAATCAAACATTAGGCTCATGGAATTAAGAAAATGATTGTAAACTTGACAAGCTCCTGATTTTTTTAAACTAAATTCACCTTGTCATTACCACAGGAAATTTATTAAAAAACTGTATGGAGAATATACACGATGATGTTAGGATGTAGAGTGTTGACATACCGCATTAAATTTTCCAAGGACTGTTCCTTTACTTTAATGTCTGCATAAAAGAGAACCACAGACATAAGTCAAAGAAAAACAAACCCATTAACCTTAAACCCATGGAAGTGATTAGCATGTAACTTCTCCAAACAACATTCATACATTAGCCAACAAAAGAATAATGAGAATACTCAAAGCTATCTGGTAGAAGTAGTTATCTTGATCTAACACCAAATTCTTGCAACTTACTTCCAAAGAAAATGTGTAGCAGCTTGAGGGGAGAATTAAGAATAAAATCTTGGCAGTTAAAGGGTAACTCCCAATACTCATGATCTTAAAATAACTGAGAAGAATTTGCTACCTTTCTATAATCAAGAAATGGATAGATATTCTAGTCTTCTCAGATAAGGACGAATAAACCGTAGGCCCCATCTCCTGCAGGGTTAGGGGTTGGAGACGTTAATTTCCTATGCACGACATTACTGTGTCGTGGATGTCCTCCCCTGGGGTGGGATGGGTTGGAATTGGCCCTGAAAAGCCCCCATAGGGAGTGGTCAACTGACCTTTGTTTGTTTGTTTGTATGTATGTATGTGTGTGTGTATGTATGTATGTATGTATGAATGTATGTATGTATGTGTGTGTGTGTGTGTATGAATGAATGAATGTATGTATGTATGTGTGTGTGTATGTATGTATGTATGTGTGTGTGTCTGTGTGTGTGTGTGTGTGTGTGTGTGTGTGTGTGTGTGTGTGTGTGTGTGTATGAATGAATGAATGAATGTATGTATGTATACAATTGGTAACTCTTCCTGCTGCTACCACACATGTCCTTGTGGATAGGACAAGAGAATTTGGTGCTATATCAAGGTAACATCCTCTAGCTGATAAACCTGTCTGTTTTTCACAGTCTGTTTGCAAGACAACATATTTGAATGAATTGTAACAAGAAGTTACACGTCAGTCAATTTTTCAGAGTTGGAGGGTTTAAGTGAGAGTACAGAATAAAAGTTCCAATTCAATAACCTTGTGCCTTAGAGCACACTTTTATTAAAAAACATGAGGGTTGTACGCATTGTTGTTAGCAGGGTCAGAAAAGCCATACTGCCCTGCAGGATACAAATAAAAAAAAGAAAGAGAAAGGAAAAAAAAAAAAAAAAGAGCACTGGTCACATGATAAAATACATGTGGACTGAAATAAGTCAGGCTAGAAAGGGAAAGTATTTGGTTCTAGGTCATGATGCATACCCCTTGCTATGCTTGGTCTGTATGTTATGACCTTGAGCCAACTCAGTCAATAAGTACGTTCTACAACCAAGCTAAAAACATTGTAATTTTTTTTTTGCAAAAGACTCAAAGTTTGACCCGTGATAAATATCTTCCATAATGCTACAAAAATATCACCAAGAATAAATTAAAAAAAAGACATTCTTGCCTTATCTACACAAGAATAGAAAAAAATCTTCATCACCAAGAAGAAATGTAATAGAGTTTAGGTTTTTTCCAAGCACAAAAATGTTTCGTGAAAATGAAAAAGGAATGTTGACACTTTAAGACTTGCATCTACTGGTATTTCTCATTTCAAAACCACAACTGAATCAAATATTAAAGTGCTACTGCGACCAAAAATGCACCTTTTCTTTTCTCCTCAGAGGTTGAAAGTACTTACCCTAAGTAACAAATTTGCCAAAGCTTAAGGCAAAACTCCATAGAGAAGTAATATTAATTTCCCTGTAGATTTGTGATCTAAACGGCCGCCATTCTTCGAACTACAGAACTCCGTGCGAAGAAGAAGAAACTGGGTCGAGAACAGAAG